GGTATCTTTAAATAAAGTCAAAACTAAATGTTTTATACAAACAAAAGCGAAGCGGATTTCTAAGTAATATATTTTCCTTTATGAAAAAGTTAAATTTCAGTATATTGACTTTTTTTCACGTGCATTTAGAAAGTCAGACGAGAAAACTTTGGTTACTTAAAAAAAATTGATTATGACAAAAAATATTTACGTTTAGCAGGTTTAATAACGGGTGTAACAACTTTTTAAAAAGATTTCATCAAACATTTTGCCGAATTTAAGTTACGTCAAATATATTTAGTGAACCCGTATTTTGTAAGTTCAAACTGGAAAAAGGATATGTATATATATATATATATCTTTTATATATATATATATCTTTTATATATCTTTTTTCTTCAACAAACCTTCGTCAGATGATTGAAAACTCCTTGAATCCAGAAGCAGGAGAAAAATTAGCTGCCGATCAAATTATAGAAAAGTTTGAAGAATCAGAAACTGTATCCCTTAAAACAGGAGGGCGATCTTTTACAGTTTCAAAAAGATCAATGAAGCATAGTGCAGAATGAAGTAACAAAGATTTAAAGACCATTAAGATTGGAAAAAAGTTGTCTGGGTCTGATATGAGTGCAATATAAAAAGCAATTCGGGTTAAGCACGGACGAAAATTAATAAAAAATGGGTTTAAAGATTTCATATTATATAACAATGGTTCTTTAATGGAGATCTTCTCAGCTCTAGACCTTGGTTTCTATAAATCAGAAACTGAGACTTTAATTGCGCGACTTGTTGTTCTTGTTAAATATGTGGAGGAACTCACCTGGATAATGATTAAAAAAGAAAACAAGACGATTTTAATGTTAAGGTAAATGTATTTGTTGATGATGGTGAAGATTTCTTTAACCTTGGAAATGGTACTGTTGATGTGGCAAGTTACTTCAGTGATGATATTACTAAGAGATGAAACTATTCCGAGAACGTTTGTCTGAACCTAAAAAAAAGAAACATCCGTTGATTAGACATTAATCTTAGGAATAGCTCCAAAAATTCAATCAAGTTATAAAAACTGTTTTTCAAAAGTCATGACTTTAAAAATATTCAGCTTACACTTTGCTATTTAACTTGATTTTAGGACTTCAAAACCATAGTTCAAAGTATCCTTGATAATTCTGTAACAAAAGTACAGATTGTGTAGATTGGCTTTACTCTACAGAAGATAAACGAACCCTTGGATCAATTAGACAGCAAAATCTTGTTTTGAAACAAGGATGTAATTCTGACTCATCAATGAAAATATTTTATAATTGCAAGAATCAACCACTTCTGCCTAGTCATGATAAAATTGAAGTTATGGAAGTCTGCAATACACCCAAACTTCATCTTTATACAGAAACAATTATTCTATTGTGGAGCAACCTATCAACAAGATAAAGACAAGAAAAATGGGAAATCTTCCTTGAAAAGAATTCTCTTATCAAACAAAAACTTCACGGTGGAGAGTTTAAAGGAAACGAGTCTAAGAAGTTGATGAGAATAATAAATAAGCTTAGAGATGCTCTTCCTAAAGATCATAGGGAATTTTTTGATGCCTTTGATGCATTTGATACTGTAGCTTAGTCGTGTTTTAAATACTCAATATGGATTTTGAAAAAGAGATAGATGAATTTCTTGACATTTTTAATACTTTAGAAATCAAAAAAACTATACCAAACTGCATATATTATTTTGCCATGTAAAGAAAATTGTAGAAATAATGAATATTGACTGGGATTTACATCGACCAGGCAGGAGAAAGTATTCACTCGAAATTCAGTGAGTTTTTAAGATTCAAACTTGCGTCTGATTTCCACAAAGAAACATACAAAAACTTTTTTGTATAGAGTATAATCATACCATGCTAAAAAAACTTTATTAAGGCGTGTGCGCTTTACACGCGCCCGAATTAAATTTTTCACACTTTGCAACATAAACACTATTGTGGGGAGGTGTGAAATGTAATAATAATTTCATTTATTTTGTTCTTACTCATAAGTAGTGACCAAAGTCAGTCAGATAAATTAGACTAAATACAAAATTAGTTATAATGCTACAGGTTTTAAAAATATTATCTTTTTTTAAATCTTTTCGTTCGTTTAAGTGTATAATATCCTTGTAATATCTTTACATATGTTTTTATATAAATTCTATAAAACTTCAAAAGTATTTTGTATCTTAAAATAGTAAAAATAAAATTAAAAAAAAAGTTATTCTAGTATAATATAAGTTAAAACATTTTGTACTCCTTTTTATACACTAATACGATTCAGTGTTTTTATTGCAGCATGGTACCCAGTTTTTATTAAATAGAGGATAGGCCTTTCGATTTTTAATACAAAGATCACAATCATTCATTGCTTGAAAAAAAAACAAAGCATTTTAACATCACTACAAAAATAATCATGTTTTATGTTCCTTAGCAAAAAACTCTTTTAGTAGTATTGATCTGCAGCATGTTTCTGTATTCCCACGATATGCTTTTACAGCAGAGCTAATTTTTCGAGAAGCAAACCACCTTGAGTAGACTAAAAGAATCGCATTACTCTGTAGACCATTTCTACCAACCCGCCCAGATTCTTAAGAACAGCTTTCAATGCTAGAAAGTGGTCCAAAATGGATTAAATTATGAAGGCTGAGAGTCTATTATAGTGAGACCGAAATGCATCTGAATATGTACTTGAACTTCCACAATAACAATCATAGACAAATTATGTATACAAATCATGTTAATTACAAGATGTTGCTTATATAATCCTATAGGTAATGCGTTTCTATTTGTTTTCAGTGAGAAAATTGTTAAATACTTTAAAATAATTTTATGCATTACAAGAAGGTCTGACATTAACGTTGTAAGTATCAATGTTTACTTTACGTAGCAAATTTATTTTTATAACAAAATAAATGAATAATTATTTCGCATAACTATTTCTCAAAAAATGATTAACTATTTCGCATTCATTAAAAAGCATTTTACATGTTTTCTACAAAAACATGATGTTAAAATTCTAAAATTTATGAACATTTCAGTAAAAAATATATAATTTTTCAGGGTATTTACCCAGCAAAAACTAAACCTTTTCTAGAGAAATGGAAAGCTTCATTTTTTAACTGAAACTATGTATAATAATAATAGTTATTACCTCTGTTTGATCATCTTTTGTATTTTTCTTTTTGTGATAAAGCTTCATATAAGCACTATTGATTTCTTTTTCACTAAGAACATTTTCTGATCTTTCATTAAACTCAAAAGCGCCGAAACAGCAAAAATTTTGTTATTGCACATCTAAGTATATATTCATGTCGAATACTACCAGGTGCTTGACCTTCTCTTCACAAATTTAAAGTGAAAGTAAAAAAGGGTAAACATTGGAACACATTAGATTTTGCACTGCCTGTTGCTTAGTAAACAAAACTGTCTATGTAGATGCTGAGAGCTATTAAAGCTATTTGGTAATTTTTCAAAGATTTAATGCAATATAAATCACAAACTATTTTAAAAGCATACTCTAAATTAATATTTTCTTTTTTCATATTGCTTCTGAATAGCGCTGATGATTTAATTAACTATATTTTGGCGCATCTCATTAATAAAACTTACACTTTATGAACTTCATTCAGAATAAAAAAAGCCGCAGAAACTTGTTCCGATAGATGATAAAATGTATTAGCATGTTTTCTAACAAAGACAGCATCAATCATCAAACAGAAAAATTGTTATGATCTATTTGTTTTGATTAAAGAGTTTTGCATGTTGATCAAAAGCTATATTTGTCCACAATATGAAAACAAGTTCAAAAGTCCCCATTTTATTTGCAATACGTTCAGCTTTGTGGTTTTAATTTTTTTGAGAGGATTTTTCCGCAATCTCATTGTCAAAGTTTCATTAAAAGAATTTAAAACTGCTTCAGTGGCATTTGTGTGAGCTTCTAACGCGTTTATAATAATGATTTGAGTACATTTTTATTTCCTATGTTCATTTGAAGACACCCCAGTGAGGCGTCAAATTTGAAAAAATCTATAAAATAATTTTACGGTAAAAAAAACAGTACAGCAACTTGTTGAACTAAGATTAAGAAATGCGCTGCCCATGTTCATTGAATTTAAGATCTTAATGCTTGCATCCTTTTGTATACTGCAAATAAATTTGCGGCATTGAGGTTAGGCTGATATCTACAAATTCTAAAATAAAAGTGACAAATCTTGCCTTAACATTTTAAAACCTGTTTTGCAAATGACTGCACCGAAATGGCTTTTCATAATTAAAAAAGTTAAAAGCTAATTGACTGGCCCACCGTCCTAAGGTGAAACTATACTCAGTTGTTTAATGTGAGTAATATCTGGAGGTGAACATCAAAGTAAAATAATAGTAAACATAAATGTTTCAATGTGATTATTGATTAACTCACAATAATACAAAATAATAAAATATTAATCAAATCAAAAAATTTAGTTTTAACATCTAAAATTTAGGGACCCCAAGCTATGGCCTTGTCTGTCCAGACATGAAAAAATATTTAAATTTTGGGTAATCAATCAATTTTGTAGATAGTAGGAAAAAATTGCAGCGGTTGCTCAAATATATATATATATATATATATATATATATATATATATATATATATATATATATATATATATATATATATATATATATATATATACATATATATATATATATATATATATATATATATATATATATATATATATATATATATATATATATATATATATATATATATATATATATATATATATATAGATATATTTATATATATTAATATTGCAACCAATCATCTGAGGATCAAACTTACGACCTAAATACGACCTATGATTCTTTATTATATTGCTAATTAATGCAGTTTACAGGGAAATACTTTGAGTTATTCATTACCATATTAACAATTTTAATAAGCTCAACCCTAATACACACATGTTGTCATGCCTAATTTTAAATAAAATGAAATAAAAAATTCAGTAATCACCTGAACGGTTTCCCAGTTTGATAAGCCATTATTTGAACTTTTGCAGCTATTTCAAAATAATAATGTAAATCAAAAGCTAATGCTACCGTGCTTCCAACTGATGTTGTTCCATGGTTACCCATCAATAATATATCTTTGTCACCAATCGTTTTACCTAACCGATCAGCTTCCTTATTTAAAAAGTACATTTTTTTGATATAAAATAAAAGTATGTTTTTTGAAAACATAAAAACTAATAGAAGTTATAATACACATAAATACTTTTTTTGCTATTTTAAAACAAACTTATATACGTCATTTTCTCCATCAGCTGCAATTGCACCGTAATTTTTATCATACATCACATTTCCTATAAACCGACATGAATTTTGATGAATTGGTTTGATCTCCATATCCTATAAAATAATAGGTAAATTTTTTTTTGTGATATTTTTATTCTATTTGGATAGTATAAGGTTTATACTTACATCTAATACTGATAACGCTGCAGCATATTCACTATGGGTATGCATTATGGCATTTACATCTGGTCTGTGACGATAAATTCCTCTGTGAATACTGTGCGCAGTCAACTCAGGTTTGTCTGATCCCTCAATTAAATTGCCATTGTCTTTATCGATTCCTTTAGTTAAAATTAAATGTCAAATTTTATAACCTTGAAAAGTCTTTTTTTAAAACATTAAAAAATCACGGTAGTAATATGTTCACTAAAACAAAAATAGTGGCAAAGATGAAAATAAACAACGTGTCGTGATTACAAAAATCTGTTTAATATAGTAACTCTATTCAAAATTCTATTAAAAATTTGAAACTTTTGGAATTACAAAGCAGATATTTAAAATTACTTACCTGCTAAACACTGCGGCGTTACCTCCGACCAGTAAACACCGTATGGAATTATAAGAATAATGTCCTCGTCACAATGAAGTGACGGAGCTTTTGTTGTTAAATGGTTACAAACACCCTCGTTCATATTTAATCTTAAAAGATATATGCAATATATGCTTTGATCAAATATATATAAGTACGTCTGTCTATCTGTCTCTATGTATGTATGTATGTATGTATGTATGTATGTATGTATGTATGTATGTATGTATGTATGTATGTATGTATGTATGTATGTATGTATGTATGTATGTATGTATGTATGTATGTATGTATGTATGTATGTATGTATGTATGTATGTATGTATGTATGTATGTATGTATAAATCTTAATGTATTTGCAATTATAGAAAACTAAATACTTTGCAAATGCTCGATAGGCAGTTGCTAATTCGCATCTTCTCTCCCAATTTTTGGCCAATATTTCTTCTTTACTTAACTTCAGAACTTGTTTTCCATTAGAGAAAAATCTCGCATGACTAAATGTCTGTATTACCAATTTCTTTCCGTATTTGGAAACTAATTTTTGTAACATTTCTTAAATGATAAAAATAGTTATACAAGTAATCAAAGTAAACAAAAATCATTTTTCCAACAATTTTTTTTTATAAACGAATTTTTTTAATCACCGAATTTATAATAATAGCTTTAACTAAAAAAAAAAATCATGTCAGTTTGCATGAGGTCATCTAGCATTTAATAATTAAACATCACTGCAACAAAAGCTAGAATAATTTTATACACTTTAAACTTATTACATACACAAATATTTACACTATATAATAACTTCATAAGATATATGAAATTCAATATTTACGCAAAATATTATCTGTATAAAAAATGTAAAGTTTAATATTCACACAGTATAACATAAACTTTCATGCATGAACGATATAGAATTAAGGTGTTATAAATATATTAGGTAAGAGTTTTTGGTTTTTTATTTTAACTGATGCAACAAAATTGTTTGTGTGATTTCAATCTTTAACAAAAAAAAAAAGAAATCTAAGTAATAGCAAAATAAGTTCCATTGAAAAGTATCATCGCAAAAGTTTTTTATTTGTTCATAACTTAAAATTTTAAATAAGAGTGAAAATATAAAGTAATAATTATTAAAATATAAAATATTCATCTACAATACCTTCAACTAAATAAGCTATTAGAAACGATTAATTGTATGCTTACATATTAGAGGTTGTAATGTTGTATTGAATGTTATACACATGTTGTAACCATGATGTTCGGTAATACGACGCCACGTTTCAGCATTTTTCAATTTGTAATACATGGTTTACTACTTGTGAGTTGTAATTTACATAGACTGGCAGAGTAACAAAAATACTTTGTTTAAATATTTTGTTTGAATATTTGAATGTTTAAACTTGAATATTTGAATAAAAAATTGATTTGTAATGAAAATTTTTCTATTTATTTCGTTTGTTATTGTACTCAAATATATAAGAAGCTTCTTTTCATGGGTAAGCAATCGCAATTTATTTTTTACTAAAAATATCAAATTCATTTAAATTTTTAGATAATTTAAAAATGGAATTAAAACCAAAAGGAGGATTATACTTGTATATAAATACTTAGTTTATCATTTTTTTGTATTTTTTAAATAGTTATACTTTCTTTTTAGTTTTCCGAAAATTAAGGAGAAAATGGATTCAAGGTATGCTAAGCAAACAGTTTGAACGTTTTCGTAAACATATCGCTGACGACAGTTATAATGCAAATCCTCTTCAGAGTTCACCAAAAAACGACAACAATAAAAACTTTCAAAACGGCACAACTTCTATATTGTTTAATTTTCCAGCAAATATTTTAATCCAAGATAACATAACTCAACTAAACTAATATAAACAAAAACTGATTCTAAAAAATCATTAATCAGTCAAATGTTACTATTACTTTTAAATGTTATATAAACAGATTAAAAATGTTTTTAGGGAATTTTATTTTTACAGATGTTAAAATATTTTCAGTTTTATGTTTTTTAATTCTTATAGTTCTTTTGCTGCAAAAAATTCGTTTTTAAAAGGTACCTCCAAAGTTATTCTTGCAAGGAGGGACATCTTAAATTAAATAGTAGGAGGCGGAGAAGAAGGGGTCATAGAAGGGGGATAAAGGGGTAAAATATTAACGAGTCAACTTAAAAAGATTTTTTTCCCAACGCTCGACAACAAACTCTTATCACTAAATCACTTAATTTACACAACAACACACATTACACAATATTGCATGTATGACAAAATTAGATATATTTCACAATATCACAATAAAATAGTTGGAAAAGTTTCAATACTGTTATTAAAACTGTTATAATAGTATGTTTTAATACTGAAATAATATTTATTTAGTGTAATAATATTTACTATAATGCTATTTTTTACTTGAAGAAACTTAAAAGTTAGTGATTTAAACAAACAAAAAAAAAAAGCAACGTCTTTTACATTAACAACAACAAAAAAAAAAACAGTTTAAAAAGTTTTTAACTAAAACATTTTTTCCTATTTTTTAAGATTTAACCATTGATGTACTATTTTATTTATATCTAACTGGTTGTCAATTTCGTTTTCTTCTTCTATTGGTCGTCAATTTCTTTTTCTACTAGTAATCCAACTAAAGCGTTCAATCTTTTATGAGTAATTGTTAATCTTAGAGTTCGGACTATTGTAATTCTAATAAAAACAATAACAGAAACTATTGTTATTGTGTTAACTTTTTAGAAACAATAACAATACTTGGGGTTTACAATTATTTTAATGTTGTAATACAATAACAATAATTATTGTATTGCGTTTCATCGTTATAATACAATAACAATTTATTGTTATTGTAGTAAAAAAAATTATTTTAATGTCAAAATTTAGTAAATACTTTAATAGTCCAGTCTCCGAGATATGTGACCTTGAAATAGGGTACAACTAATATATAACTATTGTTTCTATTACTATTTTATTTACTGAATATCACTTGTCCTCGTTGCAAACTTTATACAGCTCTATAAAAGTAAGTTTGATCTAACCTGTACCTCTTTTACTGCTGGCCATAGACATGATTAACTACTAACATTTTTTTCACTTAGTTATTTGCTTTTACATTAGGCACCTATCTAATTGTTTCGAAACTTACTCAACTAACACTTACTCTAATATAACTTTGTCTTTTGTTTCCCTGAGGCTTTTATGGCTGTATGTGTTTCATAAAGTAACTGGACTTTTGGATCTAGTTGCAAAGTTAAACAAGAATTTGTTACATAGATCAAGAACAATATTTATTTGGTACTCTAAACTGCCTCATTTTTCAAAAATGATCTTCTACAAAATTTACTGGTGCTGTCTGATTGGTGATGAGTAATCTAAAAAAACATAATTTTTTTTTTTCAAAACAAAAGTAGTTCAATTTTTAGACAATCTAATCGATAATTACCCAGGTCAACGGTTCCCTGATGGTTGCACATGTTTTTTATCCCAGTAAAACGGTTCCACATGTTTTTTATCCCAGTAATACAATACAAAAGTTGATGTTATTGTTTTTCATCTCAGCAATACAATACAAAAGTTATTGTAATTGTTTTTGATCCCAGCAATATAATTCAAAAGTTATTGTAATTGTTTTTTATCCCAGCAATACAATACAAAAGTTATTGTAATTGTTTTTCATCCCACTAATACAATACAAAAATTATTGTAATTGTTTTTCATCCCAGCAATACAATACAAAAGTTATTGCAATTGTTTTTCATCCCAGCAATACAATTCAAAAGTTATTGTAATTGTTTTACATCACAGCAATACAATACAATAGTTTTAGAACTTCAATGTAGGGGAGAACCTTAATGAATGAGACAGTTTTCGTAAAATACATTTTTTGAGGTTGATAAATTTGTTTAAAAATCACTTTGAAAATAGTTTGATAACTGTTAACTCTCGTACTATGATAAACAAAAACAAAAAAATTGATTCCGCATATGGGTATTGGTAAAAAGAGAGTTTAATAAGACCATGGCATTTGTCCCATTCATTAAGAACTACTCATCGAATGGGACAAATAAAATTATTGAATGGGACAAATCTAAAAAATTAATAAAAGAAGAGAGGTCCTAAGTAACTTTCAAGCCAGTCAAGCAGTAAGGGTAGTTTCTACCATTAGGGAACCCGAAAAAGCTATAAGTATGGCCGAATGTCTGCATATATTGACAAACCTAAAATAGTTTTATTAAAAAATTTATGTATATTAAAATTAAATTAAAAACACGAATAATTGTTTTTAGTAAAACAAAAAGCGTTTTTTAAATGCTTGGATATAATTCCCAGTAATGACACATTTCCAATAGGGAAATGAGTCATTGCCTGCAGCATCCCTATGCTAAATTATAAATAAACAACTTAATACCATATAAAGTATCTAGTTTACTTTCAAAAAACGAAATAACAAAGCATCTTATTAGATATTTAAAAAATTCATTGTATTTATGTTTAACCAAAATATAAAAATCAACAATTATTGCTTGTTGCAAAGTACATGAAATAAAAACCATCAAAGAAAGTGTAGAAGATATCAACAGTCAACTTCACATAGTTCACATTCATAATAACACTTCTTGCTGTTATTATTACAATTACCACATATCCACCATTGACAAGTAAAACACTGAATCCAAGCAGGCCCAACGAAATTCTTCCAGTTACATTTGCATATTTTGCAAGTATTTTGTTGTTGTTGGTTTACGGGTGCATTTTTTACAGATGACACAATTAAAAAATCTGCATCAAAGATTTCTGTTTCTTTCCCTCTTTTGAGGTCAATTTTTCTTTTTAGATTTTGTGTGGTAATTTTACCAGTTTCAAAAATGTTCTTCTTATTTACTGTCTTTTCTGGAGTTTTAGTTAATATAGTACTTTTACCCTGCTTTCTTCTTTTTTTAGAATCTTTTCTTGGGGGTGCTTTAGGGTACGGATGAAAGGATTCTCGACTAAATATTTTGACTGATGATTTTGAAGAATCAACTTGTTTATTTATTTCATATGATTGTTGATTATCTGGTTGTTTAATTTCTGGTTGCTCGACAAGAAGAGGTCTGTCACTAACACTAGATGATATGAAATCACTTTCCCCAAATATTTGTCTATTGAGTCGATAGATCCCACATTTAGAAAACCCACTACAAACATTTTTTATTGTGAAAGACATATTATATGCTTTGCATGCTAGCTGAGGTAAATTATATATGTTAATAATTCTACCTGGATTGGAGGCCAACCATTCATTCTGAGCCAATCGAAAATAAGATTTAAAAGGACCAAACACCGAAACATCCAAAGGCTGCAATCTATGACTGCAGTGTGGTGGAAATGTTAATAAAATCAAAGAGTTTTCTTTTGCAAATGTTATTGTTTCAAATGAAATGTGGCTTTCGTGGTTGTCCATTAATAACAGCACTGGATGCTCCACAGATGGCTTAGCATGGGAAACAAAGTGCTTCATTGCAACTAAAAAGTTCTCACTTGTCATCCAACCACTTTTGTTACACAGCCCTAAGCTTCCTGTTGGGGCTCCACATATCATAAAATCCTTGTAATTTACTCTCGGTAATATAAATACAGGTGGAACTGTATTACCCATAGCATTCACAAAAGCTAACATTGTCACCAATGAACATCTTTCTGCTGAAACAGCTTGTGAAACCCTTTTAGTTCCACGAGTTGAAATAATCTTTGGAGGATCTGTTACTGTTAATAATCTTGTCTCATCTGCGTTAAAAATACATTCTGGTTTGAATTTATATTTTAATTGAACTTCTAACAAGTTATCAAAAAACATTGACACCGTATGTTCATTAAAAGCAGTTGCATGAGCAAGACTAACTTTTTCTGGCTTACGTAGTGATAATTTTGGATGTCGTATCAAAAAACTTTCCAACCATTGCTTTCCTGCCATTTTATTTTGGTGCCATGACTCTGGAATACTGTTAGAATTTAATGCAATTCCGTACTTGTAGGCTAATTGCCTAGTTTGTAATTTAGTTAAACCATAGCACATATTTGAAGACGTTTGCAAATAATCTGCAATAGCACTTTCCTCAGACACATAAAATATTTTTCTATTTCCAATGTTTACAATGTGTTTATAGTCTGGCAGCTTTTGACATCTTGCCATTTTAACAGCTCTACCTACTGCAGATTTTGATAAACTATACATTTCAGCTGCATCTCGTATGGACATACCCTTAAGAACACTTTTTACTGCATCTTCAACATCTAAAGAGTTTTTACGTATTAATTTTGTGTTTGGTTTCATCTAAAATAAAATTTGAAACTTCACAAAAAACCAAATATATGCCATATGCAAATATTTAAATACAAACATGAAATATATAATTAAAATACACACAGATATACACACACATATATATGTATGTATATGTATGATACATATACATACATACAGTATATGATATAAATACATATGTGTGTGTGTGTGTAAATAGATATACATAAATGTATATAAATACAATAAATAAATACAAAAAAATAATTATAAGTATATATATATATATATACATATATATATATATATATATATATATATATATATATATATATATATATATATATATATATATATATATATATATATATATATATATACATACATATATATATATATATATATATATATATACATATATATATATATGTATATATATATATATATATATATATATATATATATATATATATATATATATATATATATATATATATATATATATATATATATATATATATATATATATATATATATATATATATATATAATATTTGCCATCTTTTTAATACTCTGTTATCAACAACATATCTAATTAAACATTTATCCATATTTATACATATTACAAATATCATACATCAACATATCTAATTAAACGTTTATACATATTATAAATATCATACATCAACATATCTAATTAAATATTTAAAATTAATTTCATTTAATCAACTATTGATCGACTCAACTTTAAAGAATACTAAAGAAAAGATTTTAATAGAGATTTAGTTCTATGAACACAATTTTGAATTTTAGCTAAAGCATTGGTCACACTTATTTGAACCACATTTTAACATCAAATTAAAACGTATTTAAAAATAAAATTATGTGTGACCATATCTAAGTTGCCGAAATATATTTTTCTACTTTTTTCATACCAGGCTGTTTGGACAAGTCCCAATCAATAATCAATACTTTGTCCCATTCAATAGGCTTCCCACTATATCCACAAATGACAGGACAGGTTAAAAACAGTAATACCTAAACAAAAATACTTTACAAATTTAAAAAGTAGAGACATTTGGGTGTTGAAAATTGGAGTTTCATTTTCCTTAACTTTAGTAATCGCTGCAAAATCAGACACAGAAAATTGTTTTTAAAAATTACTTATTGTTCTTCAAAACACAATAACATCCAATGCCATTACGTTTAGACCATAATAGAAATAAAGATTTGGTCTGTTGAATGGTTGTGTCAAACACTTATTACCACAGGAGTTTGGATAGCCAACCGTAGATGCTTCTATGCAAATTTGATTTTGTCCCATTCAATAATTGTCCCATTCATTAAGGTTCTCCCCTATTGTTAGAAAAAAAACAATACAATAGTTATTGTAACTGTTTTTCATCACAGCAATACAATAACAAAAAATAATGTTTTAAGTACATCTCAGATTTTACAATACAATCTTCACGACTTAACTGTTTCAATATATCTTTACTTGTGGTCTGCAAAGTAACCTTCCAGTGCGGAGAATAAGAGTAAATAATCAGTAAAATAATTCAAATTGTAATACCTTCTTGAAACTTTCTGAAAGTTGTCTGTAAGTTAAAAGAATTAAAAAAAAAAAAAAAATCTAAAAAAGTTTTTTTTGGCCTAGTGCACCCCCAGCTGAATTGACTGTAAAAACCTTCTAAACCGATGATATGAGGTTACACTATGATCAAAATTTAAAGAAAAATTGATTTTAAACAAACAGCAATACCACATTACTAATTAAAATATGGTTAAAAGCCAAAAAAAGGTTTGTTTATATATAGGGGAGAGTTGCCGAAGTTGGAACAGCATTTTAATTCGAACGCTTGCATTTATTTTTGAAAAAAAAAAGAAATATGGCTATATTTTGCATTTTTTTTAGTAAAACGCATTATTTTCTACGTTTTGACACATTTTGAAAGTTATTCCTTAAAAACTGTGTTTGCACCATTGATTTAGAGTTTTTTTGCGTCATTTTTTTTCACCGATCTAATTTTGTGTTCACACTATATTGATTGCACTATGGTGCTACAGGTTATATCGTTTTTTGTGTTTAATTTGATGGAATTTAAAATGTAAAATAACGATATAAACTTATCTTATAAGTTGTTGCAAGAATGTTATTCAAGTGATATAACAATATAGTCGAAAGTTTCCTTGATTGCAACATTGGTGTTTTCCTTACTTAATCAGTAATAAAATCAAAGGGTTGTAAAAGTAGTTTGAGTGCAATTAAAAAAATAGTTTTTCCAACCCCATTTAGTAGCTTCGGGTAAAATCTGGTGTGGCACCAAGAATTGTCCCCATACGCTACTAAATAAATAACTACATGTAAATATCATTTTTAAATATTCCATTCATTAGAATTTTTGAATAGACTAATAAGTTCATTTAATTATAAAAATATGTAGATTCCTTAAAACACAACTTTAATCGAATACTGAAAGAGTGGATTTTTTGTAGATGACAACCTCTCACTCTGCCGTGACTTTTTAGTAAACAGCATTCTCCGGCATTAGGCGAGAACTTGACATATGGCTTGGAACTTGTCTTAAAATAAAGTAGCACTCAAACCGAAGCAGTGCATCAGATGAAATAACTCTAGATTTTGGAGATGACAAGCTAAGTAATAAAATTGAACAACAAATTCGACTGAATTTGCATGAAAAAGCAGCATATAAGAAAATTAATTTAGAAGTTAGCAGATAACAAATCTAAAATTACTTTTTTATTAAACAGTTAGAAACTGACAAATCTAAAATTACTGCCTTTTTACACTATATTGACATAGGTTACCTGCAAATGTTCTAATTATTTTTTTATCTTTATTGTTCCAGAGATTCAATGCAAATTTTTTCCACGTCCTGCAAATGAAGACGCGGTATCGCAGACAGTGAATGCAAACAACAATTAAACAGCTGCTTCTTTTTCACCTATCTTTTGTTAGTAATAGCAACTTGGAACTTGTTTAAGTTATCCAACTTCAAATTCTATTTTAAAATGTTTGATAACAGTTACTCTCGAGTACTTAATAAAAGGGTTTTGGTGGTGGAGGTGGTGGTGGTGGTGGGGGGGAGGGCATTAATTAAATTTTAAATGATTTTCCCTCCTACCCAAACCCCCATCTTCCCCCCCTCCCATTCATTAATTTTTTCTTGTTATCTAAAAAAAAAAAAAAAATCAATATCGGCCTTAAGAATTAGAAAACAATTATTTTAATCACTATTTTAGTGAAACTATTAAAACAGCTGTTAGAAAATGCGCATGCAAGCCACGTTAAATTTAAATAGTTTTCTGCGTGTTTTGTAAAAAATATTAGTTTGGAATTATAAACTGAAATTTATAATAAAAAATAGTTATATTGAACATAAAAAAAAATTTAGAAATGGAAGTTTTGTGACAGCAATAACATCTGTGTCAACTGTTTAATTACAGACAAGTTGGTGCCCAAAGCCAACTGCGTTTTTAACATTTAGCAAAATTTTAATGTCACTTCCTCGTGGTTAAAATAGAAGATTTTTTATTAAAATCTCTGATATTGGACTAAGCAGTCTCATCTTATGTTGCTACTAAAAGTAAGTCAAATGTCGGTAATTGTACAAAGTTTGTTCCAAGCATTTTAAACAACTCATTTTTGTTTTCATCCAATCGTAAGAACTGTGGCCATTTTTTAAAATTAAAGTTGAATCAGAAACACATACTCTCTCACCACTCCCACGATTCTCCCTGGTCTGGGTTTTTAAACTACATTAAAAGTAAAGGTCAAACACAATATCAATCCTTTTCATTTCTTTATGTTTTGTTGAAATGATATTGGTTAGTTTTTCTCAAAACTCAATTTCATAATATTCTTTACAAAATACAAAAACTATTTCACCTCCATCTACCATCTTTGCAATGATACCATCAGGAGAAGTCAAAAAAGTATCGAATACTCTTCAAGCTATTTAAAATACTATTTAAGTACGAAAAAATATTTTATTAACTTGTTGCCCTCACGTTTGGGGTACGTGGGGGGGGGGGGAGTTGTAACGAAATTTTGGTGTTTATTTGTTCCCAGCCACAAAATCTTTATTTGTTACCTCCTTATTCATAAAATGTCCGTAACTTTTCAGAATAGCATTAAAAATGCTAATTAGTTTTTACAACTAAAACCATTCTTTATGCGTCTTCTTCAGTTTATTTTTTTATTCTTTTTTTAGATATTTAGGTGCTCCAAGAAGTCTTTACGGTCTTATCAAGGAGCACCACGGGAAAGCATTTAACTAGAAGTTCACGCCCTCTTTCTAACCAATTTTGCATATTGGGCTAGAGCTGGCATCGAACCTCGGACCTCTAGGTTCTGAGCCAGAACTCTCAACGCTGTGCCACAGCTGCTTTTAGTTTATGAAACTAAATTTACGATTGGATATCATTTATAGTAAAAAGCCCAACAACTATTTCGCTTAGGTGAGCTCAGACAATTTAGTTGTAAATTTTTATCTATATAGAGAGTGAAAATTTAAAGTAGATCACATGTGCGGCCTAGTGCTGCTTATTTTTTTTCGGCTTGTGTAAAGGTAAGTGTTAAAAAAATGTTGCGTATTTTAAGGGGTTTTATTGAAAAACACTTTAAATAAAAGCAAAGCATTAAAAATAAATTTTTATAGTTCATCTTCTTATTTCAATATATGATGCCAATGAACTAATAAAAACTTTAAGGAAATTAAAATGTTGTAAAATTGTCTTGCTGTCCTCATATTTCATTTTTTTATGATTTTTATATTTTTACCAATAATTGAAAAATAAAATATTGCCATTTTTGTAGAAAAATTAATATGCTGAGCTCAAAAATAACATTATAGAAAGATTTATATCAGTTTTAGAGTGCTGGGTGTCTCTAAATTACATTTACAAAGAGAAATTACTCCAATTATAAAAGACTGTTTTGAAGGGTTTTGCTTACCAATTGCCCACTGAGCAACGCGACGAACTCTCATTGAGAGCGGGAAGTTGCCATCTACGGGTTGTTATTATTAATTAATGCATTCATTAAGTTAAAACTTTTTGTAAGAATCAAAAAAGGAAAAGAC